CACCCAGATCTCCCATCCTCGGGGCTCTCGCGGCTGGTGGCGGTGGGGTGAACTAAAGGGGGCGGGGCATCATGTGAAGGAGGCGGGGCCTGTGGGCCTGGAGGAGGGGCCATATGGACAGCGGGCGGGGTTTCATGGAGATGGGTGGGGCTTGGGTGTCCGTAGGGTCGCCTGTTTTGGGGTGTGGGCCTGGTTTAAAGCTGAAAAGGAGGAGCCTGTGGGGGAAGGGGCGGGACCTGCTTGGGGACCTGGATCTTTGGAAATCGGCCGGAGGTGGGAGGGGGTGTGAGAAGAGGCGATCAACTTGGAAAGTGGGCCAATCCGTGACGCAAATCTTCTAGCACCGCCCCCCCAGCCCCACCTCCCCCACTGCTCCGCTCCTCCGCTCCTAATTGGTTCCGATTTCTCCGCCGCCAGGCGCCTTCGCCATTCAACAGGAGCTTTACAAAGGCGCAAGTACCGGGGTGAAGACCTGGACGCTGAAATAAACACGGCCCTGATTGGGCACCTGTGCACCTTATTTGCATGGGAGCTCGGGATTGGCTGGCCTCTGGGGTGGCCTGGGCGGTGTTCGCCGGGCTCGTGACCGTCCACTGCCATGGCCGGACCTGGCGCTGCTTTCCGCCGCTTGGGTGCCTTGTCTGGAGCCGGGGCCCTGGGCTTGGCCTCCTACGGGGCGCATGGTCAGGGCCCTGGGGATGGAGCTGGGTGTGCTTGGGGCGACGTAGCGGGTCTGGTGCAGGGATGGAGTCTGTGGGAATCGCGAGGGCTGCCAGCCACCAGCCAGCCTGCGAAGCCCGCAGCCTTTTAGAGCCCCTCCGCCCGGTCCAGCCGGGTCCCAGGGCGGCCCCTGCGTGTCTCCGCCAGTGAGGAGCCTCCCGGGGGGTGCCCTTGCTCCCCGGTGCCCACCGGGGTCCTCCCGGGACTTGGGGCGTCAGAGCTGGTAACTTCTGCCTCTCCTTTCCACAGGCGCCCAGTTTCCGGATGCCTACGGGAAGGAGGTGAAGTAACTGCGCTGGGACTCCCCGATTCCGGGTCGAGGAGGGCACACAGTCGGGGGTCCCCTGCGGGGAGGGGCGGAATGCGGGTCTTTGCAGCTTCCAGGGCAGAAAGCCTGGGGTGTCGGGTGCCTGCGGGAGGGGCAAGCTGAGACAGACCTTTTGCCCTGGGGACCCAGGCTCCTGTGTTGCTTAGGAAGTCCACCCCTCACCCCAGTGACTCTTTCTCTTCTTACAGCTCTTTGAGAAGGCCAACAAACACCACTTCCTACACAGCCTGGCCCTGTTAGGGGTGCCCCATTGCAGAAAGCCCCTCTGGGTAAACTTCCTCCTCCCTGACCCGGACCCAGCCCCACCCACTCCCCAGCCTGCCCTTTGCTTATCGCCTTGTTCTCTCCTCTGTCTCCTCCAGGCCGGGCTGCTCCTAGCCTCCGGAACCACCTTGTTCTGCACCAGCTTTTACTACCAGGCTCTGAGTGGAGACCCCAGCATCCAGACTTTGGCCCCTGTGGGAGGGAGCCTTCTCATCTTGGGCTGGCTTGCCTTGGCTCTCTGAGCTTCCTTGTGTTTAATTTCTGGGTACATTTTTGAGAGGTGACACGGGGAGGGGATTAAAAGAGAAAGGCAAAGAAGTATGGAGTCTTTGTTCATCTAACCTCTTGGAGGAAGAAGGGTAGGGATTGTCAACCTCGGGACTCCCTCCCTTTCTGAAGACGGGGCCAGTGAGCTTTGGGTCTGAGGATAATGTTCACTTCAAGTTAATCTGTTACGAGGTTCGTAAACTCATAACAGAGTGATAAGTAATGCTTGAGGTAATGCAGATTCTCAGGAAGTCCTCAAGGCCTGGGATCTGTATTCTAATAAGCTCATCACGTGGCTACTAGAATTTGAAGATTACTGTAGGGTGGTGGATTTCAGCCCTGTCAGTCTGCAAAGTGATGGAGCACTCATTTACTCTTGGAGCCAGGTGTAAGGCAAGGCAGGACAGGAGGAATGCCATGACAGTAGTCCCCCCCTTATCTGTGACTTCACTTTCCACAATTTCACTTTACGCAGTTTTAGTTACCCAGGGTCATCTGTGGCCCAGAAATACAAAGGAGGAAATTCCAGAAATAAGCAATTTCTACTTTTTAGAAGGTGTGTTGTCCTCTATCATCCCTCTCTGTCTCACTGTGATGTGAATCATCCCTTTGTGCAATTGCCAGCTGATTAGTCACTTAGTAGCTATCTTAGTTATCAGATCGACTGTAATGGACTGTGCTTATGTTCACGCAATCCTTACATTGCTTAGTAATGGCCCCAAAGCACAAGAGTAGTGATGCTGGCAGTTCAGCATGCCAAAGGGAAGCTGTGAAGTGCTTCGTTTAAGTGAAAAAGTGAAAGTGCTTGACTTAACACGTTAAGCGCCATGGCAGTCACCGGTGACTGACACTATACTTTCCATCCGGACCTCGTCAGTCACTTGCAGATCAGTGAAATCAGATATCCCGGGCTAAATGGAAAGGAAGACAAAACAGGCTTGGCACTTTACATGTTAAGGAAATAAAGTCATGCTTAGGTTGCTAAGATCTATAGTAAGGACATGTATCTATGAAATTGTGAAGGTGGAAGAAATTCGTGCTAATTTTGCTATTGCAGCTCAAACTGCCAAAGTTACAGCCACAGTGCATGATAAGTGCTTAGTTAATATGGAAAAGGCATTAAATTTGTGTGTGGAAGACATGAACAGAAAGCATGTTCTGACATAGATGGCAACCTGTCATACCAGAGAGCATTGAGCCTATACAGGAAGAAACTGTATAGCAGTGGTTCTCAACCTGGGGGTCGAACGACCCTTTCACAGGGGTCACCTAAGACCATCGGAAAACACATGTATATAATTACATATTGTTTTTGTGATTAATCACTATGCTTTCATTATGTTCAATTTGTGACAATGAAATTGGGGGTCACCCCAACATGAGGAACTGTATGAAAGGGTCGCGGCATTAGGAAGGTTGAGAACCACTGGTGTATAGGGTTCAGCGCTGTCTGGTTTCAGGCATACACTGGTGATCTTAGGCCATATCCCCCTTGGATACAGGGGGACAACTGTACTTACACTATACTTTGGGATTCAAAGAAGGGACAGAACATTATGTATTAGGGGTTAGAAAATGCTTCACAAGCCCTAGCCAATTTGGCTCAGTGGATATAGCATCAGCCGGTGGACTGAAGGGTCCTGGGTTCAATTTTGGCCAAGCGCATGTATCTCAGTTACAGGCTTGATCCCCAGTCCCGGTCGGGGGTGCGTATGGGAGGCAACCAATCAATGTGTCTCTCTTCCACTCACTAAAAATCAATGGGGAAAATATCCTTGGGTGAGGATTAACGAAAATAAAAAGGAAAATGCTTCACAGTGCTTGAGATGATCCTTGAAAGAACTCCGCTGTCTGAAGGAAACAGTAAACAAAGACGGGGGTAGGGAGCAGAGGAGGATGGGACTAAAGGACTCCTCCGTGTGGGTCACGTGTCAGAAAAGCAATGGGAAAAGGTGGCAAGGCAGGCCGGAGTAGCACCACAGCATGTGGCCAACTGGCAGATACTTAGGGGCAGTATTTATTAAGCCAGTGCTCATCAAGTATTGATCAGGTGTCAGACACATAAGGAAATTCAACTGTGAACAAGACAGATGCCAACTTTCCCTCATGGAGTCTTCCATTTAATAGTGGAAATGGACCTTAAACAAATTTATCACTGTGTGTTGTGCTCTGCTTGAAGGAAAAGACCAGGGAGGCCGCGAAAGAGTGGGGCAAGGGAAGTTATGTCCTTTCGGATGGGAAGGCCTTGCAGGCTGAGGTAACCATGCACAACGCTGGAAGGAAGTGTATTTTAGGCAGAAAGAATAACTGGCAAAACAGGTCCAAAAGAAGCAGTACGACGTCTTCGAGGCAAGAGAAAATTGGGTGAGTTGGAAAACACTACCTGTAGCAGGCAGACACTCAGAATTTCTTCGTAGTGCAACCATAAATCATTGAAAGGTTTTTAAAGCGAGAGTGTTAGAATCTGTTACGTTTACAAGATCTGGAGGACTTATCAGAGGATGGCCGCAGGGAGACCAGTCAGGAAGCCCCTGAAGCGGTCCAGGTGTGAGGTGACGGCGTGGCTTAGGGTGGAAGATCCAACTCAATATCTATTTAAGATAACGCTGATAGGACCTGCTGATGGGTTGCGCACAAGGGATGAATGAGAGGGAGATTTCTGGCTTATATGCCTGGCTTGGGGGAGCTATTACTCCGATGAGAAAAACTGAAGGAGGTGGCAAATTAAGGGGAGACAAGTCTGAAGGTCAGTTTGGACATGTTGCTTCCAAAATGTCCAAGGGACATCCAACGGGAGGCGCCACGCAGGCAGTTGAGGAGCTCAGAGAGGTGTCTGAGCCCAGCAGGAAGGTCCGGACTCAGATTTACTCTGCAACCCACTCTGGGCAGGCTTGCAGCCCATTTCTTCCCCATAAATACTCTTGGAAGGATCCCATAACTCACTATGACCTCCTGGTTGCCAGATCTAATGGATGGTTTTCGATCTCATTTTTCTCAGCCTCCCTGCAGCATTTGACACAGCTGGTCATACTGTCCTTGAAACACATCATGTTGCTTCTGTGACACCACTCTCTGGTTTTTCCTATCTCTGTGGCTACTTGTCAGCGTCTCCCCTATGCAGTTTAAATCAACGGTTTCCAAATTTCAATGAAGAAAACTTAGAACTACTATGCATACATTCGATCTCATTTTTCTCAGCCTCCCTGCAGCATTTGACACAGCTGGTCATACTGTCCTTGAAACACATCATGTTGCTTCTGTGACACCACTCTCTGGTTTTTCCTATCTCTGTGGCTACTTGTCAGCGTCTCCCCTATGCAGTTTAAATCAACGGTTTCCAAATTTCAATGAAGAAAAATTAGAACTACTATGCATACATATTTTAATTTCTTTTTTTTTGCGGGGGGGGTCTCTCAATATAATTTCATTTTTTAAAGTTTCTCTCTTTGTGTATGTTTTATAAAGTGCCTATCTGTAGAGTATATTGGAGGTGCATACCTAATTTTTCTGAAGGTGTGCATTCGAAAAAGTGCAGACCGTTTCTCTAATGAAGGATGCTTGGATAACCTCATTCAGCCCCGCACCTTTAATCTGCCTAATTTTAGATCCAGGATTCCTGTCTCCCACCCTCGTTCCTCCTGAGCTCCAGCCCCCTGTGGCAGCTGCAGCGTAGCAGAGTGCTCAGTGGAGCCTTGAAGGAGTTGGATGGTGAGGAGCGAAAGGTGCGTGTTCCAGACCAGGCAAAGCTTTCAAGGCCGCCCTGAAGCAAGAGGGAGCCCAGAGCACTTGAGACCTGAAGCAATTCCTGGTGACTGGCTTGGAGATCGTGAGAGGGTCAGCAGTGAAAGATGCGGACAGCACTGGTCAAATGGTGGAGCGACTGTGCTGAGGGGTTGGACAGTTCAGTGAGGACAGTGGGAGGCCATCGAAGCATTTATATCCAGGAAGGAGACATGATTTGAGGTGTATTCGAGGATCACAATAATTCTTCACTGAAAGACGAGTAAAATAGGCCCCAGAGTGACCCCCAATGCCAGTGGCAGAGCCAGCACTGGATCCTTAGCTCCTACCTCCCTGTTTAGTGCTCTGGATGCATTTCTATCCTCATCTCAGGTGATGCCTGGGAACTTCCAGGGGGAGGAGAGCTCAGTTGGTTTCTGGAATGGCCGCCCTCCATGTAATGTGATCCCTAATACCTGAGCTTTGTCCTGCCAGTAGGCGGGGCTCTTAGGGAAACAATATAAATGAGGCCTGCTTGGTCATTTGTCCTTATTTTACTATACGTTGTATCTCAACAGACCTGAGAGTTGGTGGGAAGTGGAATTAAGAGAGGTACAGGAACTTGTTCTGTATCGTACAGCTAGGACCTGGGTAAGCTGTGATTCAGGCTCTCTTCTGTTCAGTTCCCAGAGCTAACTTCTTGCCTTCATGTACCTACCAAGAAACAGTGAGGACAGGCCCTTTAAAACATGATTTGATACAATGAGTTCAGTGTTACAAGTAGGAACAGGTGGGCTGGCTCCGCCTTTGGAGACTGGTGAGACTTCCGGCCACGGGCTGGGTTTCAGCATGTATAGTTCACCAGAAAAGAGGGACAAGATCACCCTGGGAACAGCGAGAGGCGAACAGGGGCGCCTGGAGCTCAGGATGGAGTGGGCAGCAGGAAAAGGCAATAAATACAGAGGAAGTGTGGAGCTCACACTGAACAGCCTCCTGGGCCAAGCTTGAGTCAACTTTGACTTCCCTTTTCCTCACATCCTCTGTCCAAGCCATCATGAATCCGGTTGGCTTAAATACATAACTGGAATCTGACCATTTCCCACTGCTACCACTCTGGCCCCTGGCCCATGCCCCCATTAAATCTCCCCTAGTTTGCCTGGCTGGTGTGGCTCAGTGGTTAAGCTTTCACTCATGTACCAAAGGATCACAATAATTCAGTATGACTCCCTGTCAGGGCACATGCCCAGGTTGCCAGCTCAATCCCCAGTAGGAGGCATGCAGGAGGCAGCTGATCGATGTTCCTATTTCTCCGTCTCCCTTCCTCTCTAAAATCAATAAAAACAGCTGCCAAAGGCACATGCCTGGGTTGTGGGCTCGGTTCCCAGTGAGGGGCGTGCAGGAGGCAGCCATTCAATGATTCTCTCTCATCATTGATGTTTCTATCTCCCCTCCTTTCTTCTCTGAAATCAATAAAAAATATATATTAAAAATATTTAAAATCAATAAAAACATTTTTTTAAAATCTCACTTAGTTTTATGCAAGAACTTCCTTCTGTCCTTGATTATCTACAGCCTACTGTGGACAAAGCAGAGAGAGAGAGAGAGAGAGAGAGAAAGAGAAATCCTTCTAACATAGTAGTCCTCAGCCTTAGCTACATATCAAAGCCTGCTGAAGAATTCTCAAAAAGTTCTTATGGCCCTAGCTGGTTTGGCTCAATGGATAGAGCGTCGGCTTGTGGACTGAAGGGTCCCAGGTTCAATTCCAGTCAAGGACACATGCCTAAGTTTCGGGCTTGATCCCCAATAAGTGGCGTGCAGGAGGCAGCCGATCA